GCGTGATCGCGGGAGATCAACCGTAGAACGTACTCTGGGTGGGTGATTGGACCTCTGGATTCGAGTTCCTCTGTTTCCCTACAAACTGTCCGTCCCAGAGTTTCCGTCCGCGGGACCCCGAGGCAGGGCGCACACGTCCTGGCCGCGATCGGGGCTGTGAGTTCGAGTCCCAGGCCCGAGTCCGCGGCCAATTACCCGGGCGCCTTTGCTTCTCCCACGCATCGCGGAAGCCAGGGCTTCCCGGAGGCGGAAGAAGGTACTTTGCCACCTTCACTTTGCCGGCTGACGACTGGGGAGCAGGAGCTCGGCCTCTCTGCCTCCCCGCAGCACAGCGAGACCCAGAGCAGAAGGCCCGCGGCTGCGAGCCGAGCTCCACCGCTGATTACTTTCTGCTGCAGGAGACCTGGCCGTTCACACAGCGTCCGCTGTCGTCATCTGTGGAATTCTCCACTGGGACTCTCCGGGCTACCAGGAGAACGGTCGATCTTGCTGCGGTGTTGTAGAAGATAAAGCAACTCAACCCGATTCTCCACTGACGCTCCGGGCTACCAGGAGAACGGTCGATCTTGCTGCGGTGTTGTAGAAGATAAAGCAACTCAACCCGAGAAACTTAAGGGCACCATGCCAAGGAAGCAGACGTGAATCTTTCCCTACAAAGTGGAAGGAGAATGTCCCCAAGAATTCCTGTCCATTAGAACAAGTTTTCAGAAACAGCAGGTTCTGACTGCTCGTTCCCCATGCAGGCAAGGCTGTGGGACCGAAGGGACACACAGGGACAGGACCGCGGTGGACCTTGAAGGCTTCCCCACTGCCCAGGCTCCTGCAGTCTCTTTTCAGAGGTTAAAGAATTTCTCCCGAGATGTTGTTTTGTACTTAAACAAACAGAAAAAGTTAACTCACACACTTGGAACCCTGGCAGCAATAGTATATGATGGTCATTATTTGTGTAGTCCTGGCTGAGCCTATAAAACCCCAAGGCTTCGCAGTCTGTATGGACAGGGATAGACTCAGACAGCTCTTTCCCACATCATTTTCACACATGCGCGCACGCACGCAGGCGCACACACGTTTTCTAAGTCTCAGGCCATTTTCTGCTGTAACCGTTCTCTAGTCTGACATTCTCTGGAGCAGCCCCGGGGAAGCTGAAGATTAAAATCACAAGTCTTGCAGCTCAGGCAGGGAATGAAGTACACACTCTGAAGGTGATCTCATGTGCTCAGAATTATGCCTTTAAAGGTCAGGTTCACTTGAGATATGAACCAAAGAGAATACAGCATTTAGACCAGGGAACTTTCCTAAAAGACATTTTCATATTTTTCATTAACACACCGAGTGAGCCAGACATTTTGCAAGCTGCTGCTTTTTAATCAGGGGCTGTTTATAGAGATAAATAAGCAATACAGGACGGCAAAAAATGATGATGACAACCCACTGACTTAGAGTGACAGGAGCGCAGAGCAACGAGCTGCCCGTTCTAGCCACTTACTCTCTAGAATTTTCATGCAAGATGAATTTAAGAATCCTTGACAAGTGAAAATTAATTTCTGAGTCGATTGTTTTTACACTTATAGAACAAGGTCAGGGAAAATAATAAGGAGGTGGCTGGGAGATTGTTTAGCTCCCCCTTGAACAGTGCCAGCCTCCGGGTGCACCTATCCGCACCCCCAGGCTTCCTCCTGCAGATGGCTGTGCTGCAGCTCTGCCCGCGGCTCCACACCCGCCATCACGCTGCCTTTCAGCTCCATTTCATAGCTGACAGACGAACTTGGCGGGACAGCCCCCTCACACACACACATGAAACAAGCCCCTTTTGAACAAGGTACCCATTTGTAAGGCAGCGCTAGCCTGGTGGCCCACTCTGTCTGTTTTTGTTTTTTGTTTGTTTTTTTTCTTTTTGGTACTGGGGAATCAAACTCAGCTCCTTGTGCTTGTGAACCCACTCTGTCATCCTGATGGAGCTTTGCAATTGCTGGGGCTTCGGTGACTCTACCTGGCCACTGAGGGGACCCGGAAGGGCTGCTTTCGGAAGTCTTCGCTAATGTGGGAGCCTGGGTTTCCTGTCTGCTCAAAGACTGGAATCTGGAGTGCTTATCGAACCAGCAGGTGATCCTGTAAGCCTGAGTCCCTTTCTGCCCTTTTTGTTTCTTCCAGAGGATGTGAGGAGCTCGTCCCGAGCAAGTCCAAGATGGACACTGCAGCTCTGATGCTGCTGGTGCCAGAGTCCTTGCTCTGAGGCACCCTGTGCACCACTCCTTTACCACATCCAAGGGCTGCCTGGCGTGGAGATACTGCAGAGTCCCCTCGTGGCAGGGCTGGGCAAGCCCAGCGAGGGCGGGGAGAAGTGCCCACCCAGCCTTTGTCCCTTCCTCCCACCTCACAGGAGATGCTAAGGGAAATGGTTTCCAGGAAACATTCCTGGCTGTAGTTTGGCTCCCAACAGGGCCTTCTGTGGAGAACAGAAAAGGAGCACAAAGCAAAGATGCCGGCAGAGAACAGGCTCCCCCACGGGCTCAGAGACTCGGTACCTTTCCCAGCTGCGGCCCAGCTTTCTTTGCAGGTGACCAGCCATGATGGCCTCGGGGTCAGCATCCTGTCAGCTCCTATAAGCAGATCTCGTTATGACTGCTTACTTCAAAAAGAGGATTTAACCCAAAGCAGATTTAGCAGGCAGTTTCCAATGGGCAACAGAACCCCAGGCCTGACCTCTGAGAAAACCTCAAAGGCTGCACTGCCGGGGAGCTGGGTAGTGGGGTGGGAGCGTTGGAGGTCATCAGAGAAGCCTCAGGTTGCAGGGGACCCTCAGTAGTCATCCAGGTCCTCCCAGGGGGTGCTCACTGCAGAGGGAATGTCTATCTGGGTGTGCCCTGGGGCTTAGCTGAGTGCTGAGCGGAGGAAAAGCTCCAACGCACTCCCACCAAGAAAAATCACTGAACTTTAAAGGGCTTTTAATAGCTGAGTAACAGTCAAAGGTCTCAGCTAAATTCTTACCAAAAGCATAAAAGTTTGATGTTTTTCCCAGTGCTACTGCTCAAAGTATCCAAAGCCTGGTAAGGTAATTTTTTTTTAATAAAAATTACTTTATGACTTTTAATACTTTCTGGATATAGTACTTTGCTCAGGAGAGGTTGCTGTAGTCAAAACAAAATTGAACACCTCCCCAAAGAGAGGGCAAAAATTGGAATGGTTCATCTGGGGAGGACCAACATGAAGTTAGTGAATAAATGTATCTAGGGTGGGCTCTTTGTATCACAAATGTCATAGCACTCTGTGAACAACAAAGCTCTCTATCACATGCCATTATTATTTCATTTACTCTTACAGTTCACAAAAGCTGGAGAGAAAGAAAGAAGAAACCACGGGATCAACAGTCCATCGCCTGCACGTCAAGGCGATGAACAGAAGCCACCTCATTCACTTAGCTTCATGGGAAATTGCAGTAAAGACTGACACCTGTTTCTGAACAACATGCTCTACAAACTGATAAAAAGTAATCCTCACAGATGCTCTTCAGCCTGCACTGATATTTTGAAACAGTCGTTATCGAACCAGTTGCTGCTCCTTTCCCTGCACACATTCCAACACGGGATAACAAACTAGATGACTTATTGTAGATATATCCAATCTTCATTGCCCCAGAAGCCTTGTTCGCTGTGTCTCTAGCTTGAGGTTGAAAGTTCTCGGAAGCTCAAGGGGTGGGATTTAATCTCATTGGCTACTCAAAAGTGTCAAACCAGAGTCTCATCTGTTTATTCAAACATGAAGCTGGTCAACTTTAACTTGCTTGAGACAAGCACAAATAAGCAATACGTTAATGCTTTTTCATTTTTCCTTCCTTCCATCTTTCTTTCCTTCTGTCCTTCTTTTTTCCTTCCTTCCTTCCCTCCTTTATTTTTCTTTGCAGGGCGATCATCTCGTTAGATATCCTGCATTAGAATGCGGCCAGGCAATCAGGCCGCACTTGTCTAACACTTCTGCCATTGTTCCTGCTGTCATGTCTCCTGTGCCAAACCCAACAACAAACATTTGGGTGAGCATTACCAATAACGTTTTGCCAAAAAAAAAAAAATCGTTTATAATATGCCCTGTTCTGTTTCATTTTTTTATTTATTCTTATTATAAAAGCTTTTGCTGCGCCAGAGATTTAGCCCAGTGGTTCTGCTACCTGCCTCGCAAGCACAAGGTCCCAAGTTCGATCCCCAGTACCAGAAAAAAAGCTTTTCCGGGTGGTAAACTAACCAAAACAAACAAACAACAACAACAACAATAAGACTGGATCTCTTTTCTGGTAACTGAGTGAATGGTGAAGCTGGACCAAACAAAGTTGTTTGTCAGTGGCTTTCGGTGACGCTCGAAGCAGACAAGTCCCTGGAGACTCAAGTCCCTGGAGTCCAGAAACTTTGGTTCCAAAGACTGTGGAAGCCACAGACATAACCAGTCAGCTGAGGGAAAGGAGAGAGTAACCCAAAAGTGGGTGTAAAGGAATTAACTACAAAGCTTTTCGCTTCTGCTTCGCAAGTGGCAGTTCTGGTGTGAGAACACGGAAGCCTTCGAGAACGTATTCGGTCTTATTTGGTTTGGGCTTGTTTTTGCATGAAGAGTTTTAAAAGGTATGCAGCTCTTAAACAGTAAAGCTAGTTGGATAGTTGTCAAGTCATTGGTACAAAACCAAACACTGAGGTTTTTCTACACTAGAATGAAGAATAAATACTGTAAATTTGGCTTACGATGGTTAAGTTTAAAAATGCCCGAAAAGTGGGTTTCAACCCCAAAGAGAAAAGGTGGATGTTTTCCAATAGAAGGTAATCCATTCATAGGGAAGGTTTTCAAATGTAGACACTCTGTTAATCAAGCTCAAACCCAAGCTCCCTGGGTTTCTTCCCTCGTGGGAACGTGGTGCCCACTCGTGCCCACCCCAAACGCATTCGCGCGCTAAGCTCGGGCAGGAGTCAGAAGGGAACCGGCAGCGCAGGGAGGGCCAGAGGCGGGCACGGCCCGCGTACCTCTCGCGCTCCCTCTCCAGCAGGTTGGTGAAGTCGTCGCTCTTGCTCATGTAGTCCGAGTGCTTGTGTTTCTCCGTCTCCAGCTCGTACACCGTGCGCCGGTGGCACTTCTCCGCCAGCAGCAGCTGCTCCAGCATGCGCCGGTACGTCTCCTTCTGCTTCTCCTCCAGTCTGTCCAGCTGAGGAAGCAAAGGCAGGGAAGAGACATTTGACTTCACGGGCGCACAGGACTCCAGGCAGTGGTCTACATTTGCCTGGCCAGGAGATCGCCACTATTCCAGCCATCCCTGCCCTTTCTGTCAACTGACTTCATAAACAAGCCACAATAAGGCTGTAGTTTAACCTCTGGCCCTCTGGTTCTTTTTCTGTAAATGCATGCGTGGTTCCTAATCTTTCAGGAGAACAAACTCTTCCACAGTTTTATTGAGATAGCACAAAGAAAGAAACTGAAAAACATCCCTCCTGACCTCAGAAAAATTAAGATCTCGGCATGTAGGGGGCAGGGATTTAGCTCAGTGTTTCCGCTGCCTGCCTCATAAGCACAAGGTCATGAGTTCGATCCTTGGTACCAAAAAAAAAAAAAAATCTCATTATGTACAGGTACCAGACTCCTCCCCTGGCATAAAAATCTTTTTTAAAGGCTCAAAGCTATACACATTCTAGGAAAAAGCATATGAGGGATCCAAAGTCCTCTTCTTTCAAGAGATGCTAACTATAGGGAAGATTTTGGAACTTGTAGCAAGTACATAGCTTTGCCAGAGGTCTAGGAAACACTATTACAGAGTTGTTTGCTCCATTTTCTTTGGTCAGGATATCAGATCTTCAAGGGATCTTGCCTTGGTCATCTTTTTAGTCCTTAGTACCATACTTAGCACAGTACCTGGAACAAAGCAGCTGTCCAATAAATGCTTGTTAAATTGGGCCAAATCTCCATTGCACTGGGCTTTCTCATCTCTGGCACTATAGAGGCTACACTATTTATATTATTCATAATATAAACTCATATTCTAATTAAAGATCTAAATAATTATCCACATAAATAATTGAGATATCGGGATGCTTTAGGTCAGATTACTTAGGGAGCTCACTGCAGTGGAGACCGGTCAGCAGTATCCCTGGCCTTCACACCGGGTGCCAGTAGTAGCACCTCCAGTTGGGAAGGTCACACGTCACCCACCCCGCCCTGCCGCCACCCCATTGCTGCTCTAGTCCAAACAGACATTTTAATTCCTTGCTCAACCCAAAAACCAATCCCCTAAGGCCCAGTGGGAGCAGCTCAGAGTGGCAGCATCATCCCCCTTCAGTTGTAAGAAGATTCGATTTGTTCCTCTGTTCCTGTATGATACTCATCGCAAACGGATCACCTCTGGGGCCAAAATAAAAGAGAAGCTGCCACCCTCATTCTCAGTACCTTCCTCCCACATCTCCACTGCCTTTGTTTAGGAACCAGTGGCGAAGCCCACATTAGCTGGCAGCTGATGATATCTAAAATCATTAGGATTTGGGGAAGTCCATTTCTCCATCTCCCGATAAAGATTTGTACAGCCTATACAAGAAATGTCCTATGGAAATAGCTCCCTGTTGCAAACTAGTTTCCTCAAGAACACTCCCAACTTTCTACAAATGTGATTTTTACCATATTTAAGGAATTCATCTAGTACTGCTAACACATCATCATCAAACACAGGGAAAGAGTGACTTTTTCCCCTTTTTGATCCCACATCACCATAAAATACCTAGACCTTCTGTCCTTGGAAGAACCTGAAGAGCACCTGCTATCCATTTGTCCACACCTCCCGTTCTCCTCTTGAAAAGGGTGACTGGAACAGGAAGCTGGGCATCTGTAACTCAGCCTAGCCACTGTGCTCTGAAGGACCCAACTTTCCCCAGTACCTCTCAGCCCACCCGAGCACTTGTGCAGGGAAGAAGGTGGTATTATTAATTGGACGGCTGACTGAGAAATCCAAAGAGACAGATGGACAGATGGAAACATCAAGAATTGTGGCAGGCAGCCTCCATCTTCATACATTCAGTCTGCATGGGCCCTGAGACTGAGGGTTCACAGCAGCTGCGGTCCTGGGTGAGGCCCCTGCAGCAGGCTTCGCTGTGGATGATGCACTCTGGACCCAGATTGGCCCACCCAGCATCACATTATCAGGAAGGCCATGTTTCTGTCTCAGTGCCTATACTGCTGAAGCAATGGGGTAGACACCAAGCCTCTCAAACAGGACTCAGACCCAAACTTTAAACTGCAGAGGCATTAGTGTAAGGGTTTAGCTTTTAATTTAAATTCTCTGTGTCAGAACTTACACTGGTAGCAGTAGATCAGACACACCAGATGCTATTTGTTGCTATTTTATTTGGAACCACTCATATATCACTCTCCTACAAGAGAGACAAGGTGGCCTATCCTCTTGGCTCTCTGTGGCTTATCCAAAACTCTGCAGATCAGAGAGAGATTCATGAATCATTATATATTGTGTATCTGGATTTTGCTGCTCAGGATCCACACTGTGGTTCAATGCAGAGGAATGGCTTTTATTTATGAACAGTGAAAATGGAATGGACATCAATTGCTTTGGAAGCATAATGTCCACTTGGATAGAAGTAAAGGAAAATCGAATGAGATCATCATAAAGCCAAAGGCCAAATTTTTCCTAAGGAGAGAGAGTACCTGGAAATCTTACTCTAATGAATCAAGTTGTCAGAGCAGTGCAAGGCCTGGAGATGGGAAACAATTTCAGTATGTTTAGGTAAAAGGATCATGGTTCAGGCCATGGCCTTAGCTCTGTTACCTTCAGGAATTCAGGAAGACAGAAATCAATTTAAGAAGAAATACAAAGCCTTAAAGGCAGAAAAAGGAAATGGGTCTCAGTGCTAACAATGATGGGGCCAGAAAAAAGGTAGGTGTTTTAATTAGAATGGGGAGAGGGTGCAGAGTACAGAGCAGCATGAACCCCAGAAAGGGGAGCCAGGACCCAGGAAACACCTGAGGAGCACACCGCAGAGCTCCAGTCCTTCATGAGATTAGAAAGGGATCTTTCCCTTGAAGATTACAACAGCTTTTCAAAGCAACTATATAAAATATGCGCCACTTGAAGAAAAACAATCTGGGAAGATGAGAATAAGATATTCAAAGCCCTCTTTGGTGAGTTCCAGGGTGTCAGCTATTTTAAGCAGAGGTATTGGTATTGCTCAGGGCCTAACTGAATATGCACAAGAAGCTTTGGGACAGAGGGTTTGAAGGAAAGAGGACACAAAAGGGAATACATGCAGGAAAACAGCAGAGAAGTCTAAACACGGATGCACTAGGAGAGAAAAAGGGCCCTTCACGAAAGGCATCCACATCAAGGACACAAGAGCAGGCACAATTTGTGTTAAGCAAATGGTCTTGGCCAACTCTGAACACCTTGATCATGCGATCTGGCATCTCTCACGGAGGGAGACCACACAGTAAGAATATGGAAGTTATATTGGAAAATAAAGGTCAGGCCCGAAAACAAAGGGAAACAGAAGCAGAACTAAAAATGCTCTAAGATCCGTAAGATAGGAATGGAGAGCACTCGAAGGAGATGGTTAAAATGCCAACAGTAAACAAACAAAAGCAACTCAGTTGAGCCTTCCTACGGCAGGAAGCATTGCAGTGGTGAGAAGTATTTTTGTTGCCTGAACAGGATAGGCTATTGAAAGATTAGAAAATGCGAATACGAGGGAAGGCTTGCCAGAAGTGGTAGTGTACTGGGGTGGCTGAGTCAGGAGGATTATGCCCGCATAATAAGTTTAAGACCAGCCTGGACTACAGAGCAAGGCTCTGTTTCAAAAACAAAAACAAAGCCAGAGAGAAGACTCAGTGCTCAAGAAGCATAGTACTCAGCTCTCAAGTACTGGGCCCAAGTTCAACAGGTTTCAGAAGAGCCGCTTTTCAAAGAAAAAGATTGCTTAAGCTTGTGCATAGAAGCTGAGAAAACATAGGATTCAAGCGGTCTTGAATATACAAGTGGAAAATGAGAGCACCTAAAATAAGAGCTAATCCTTGAGGAGCTCAGCCCTACAAGTCCCAAGACTTTGCCAAAAGACAGTCATGTTTGAAATGTCACTCACTGAAGGCCAAGACAGTGCCTGCAAACAGACCCCTCTGGCTGACCTGGGGTATAAAACTTCTGGTCATTACTAAGCTTTTGATGGTAACAGGCTCTCTGATGTGAACACCTGCTCCAACTGTCCAGTACTTACTGTAGTGGAAGACGTTCTCTATCCTCTCCTCAAAGGAGCCCAAGCCCCTGCTTTGATCTTGGTAAGAGTAACATAGACCTGTGTTATACTGGGTACTAGGGTCAATGTAATGCCGCTTGAAATAAATTGATCTTGGAGCAGGGGGACTTTATTATATATATTTAAATTTATGAGTATGAATTGGTACTATGATAATTATGTGTCCTAATAAATCTTTGGATTATTTTTTAAAGGATATGGGGAATTTAGGATATATTAACATCACTGCGAAATGCTAATGAGGCCAGCTCATTTTACTGAAGGGGAAAACAAAAACACTTGCCAACCAACTTAGATCCCCCAGGCTGAGGTCAAGCAGAATAAGAAATTAGAAGGTAAGAAACCCACCTTTTGGTTTTCCTTGGAATTTTGGTTAAGAATTATGACCTATGGTATTCTGGACATTAGTATACAAGAAAGTTCGAAGGATTTAATATTTGCTATTTAGCCTCTCCTCAGAGGAAAGGTGTCCATGGTAATGGGTCCACTGCTTAACCTCTGATGAATTCCACTGGAAAACCTAGCTGGGCCTAATTTGGTGTGGAAATGATAATGAGCAGTGATTTGGGGGCTTGAGGCAATATGGCTTTTAGGAACAAGAGCTAGACTACTTGCTCATGGAACCTCATGGGACTTTGATGTACTGGGGTTCCCAATTCGTGAACTTGGAAGTAAGACTGCTCTTGCGTAACGAGAACTTGATTGCTAACACCAAAGGATTAAGAGATCAAAATCTGTAGATGGTGAAAGCAAACCATTTCCCCATTGTTCTGCTTCTCCCACAAGATAGGCTTTCATTTGCAGTACTGGGCACGGGGCTGTCTGTCTTTCGCTCTCCCTTCTCGCTCACTTCTCCCCAGGGGAAGATGGCTCTTGTTGAGAGGTGAAAGAAACAAAGAAGCTTACCAATCCCCGAACAAATGAATACTTCTGCTCTGCTCCTCCGTCCATAGGAGGAATAGCGGGGCAGGCCCACCTTCTGAAAGCAGTTCAGAAGCTCCTTTCTGCAGACCATCCACAGAACTCACGGGGAGGGGGGGAGGCTGGGTAAGTGTGTCTGCTCTGCAGACCTGCCCCTCCCTTCGGGAGTCTTCCCAAGCTCTCTCCATGGGAGAAAAGTATCAAGGAGCCCTAATGAGTCCATTTATCCAAGTCGAGGTGTCCAATCCAGATTTTTTACTATATTTTTTACTTCTCTGTGTCTTTTTTTCTCCTCAAATCTTTCCACATTCAGAAGCACGAACAATTGTCATCCTTGAATCCCAGCAAACACTAACAGCTAACATGTTTGGAGTATGTAGCCTGTGCCTTTGCTATGCACTAGGCATTGTTCCATTTAAACCTTACAACTACCCATGAGGTGTAGAGAGTGGTTTCTCCCACCTCACACATGAGCAATCTGAGTCTTTAAAGAGCTTATGTGGTCTGCAGAAGGCCATACACAGCTAGCGGTAGTAGCTCCCAGACATGGAAGTGGACCCATCCTGCTGACTGCTTTCTGCCACATAATCATCTCAATATTTTAGAAAAAGATGAGACTAGACCTCCAGTTCACCCTTGCTGCATAAATAAGAAAATTATGGAAGCAGCAGTCCATTTTGAATACTATCTAAATGAGACCTTGTCTCAGATCTGTCCAACTGAGCTGTCCCACAGGTTTGATGGAAATTAAGTTAAATTTGTAATAGGCTTTACTCTTTGGCAAGTTGAAACCCAATTTTTCCAACACCATTTATTAAAAAGGCTCTTTTTCCTCCAGTGAGGATGTTTGGCTCCTTTGTCAAAGATGAGGTGGCTGAATATGTCTGGAGTTGTTCCTGCATCTTCTAATCTGTTCCACTGGTCCTCGGGTCTGTTTCCTTGCAAGTATCATGCTGGGGTTTTCCTGTGTGTGTTTTTCTTGGTATCAGGTTTGGATCAAATTCAGGACCTTGTCCTTGTAAGGCATGCTCGGCACCACTGAGCTACATCTCCAACCCAGTAACATGCTATTTTTATCACAGTAGCTTTGTAGTATAGTTTCAAGTTGGAGATTGTGATACTCCTTACCTTATCTATGTTGCCTAGAACTGCTTTTGATATTCTAGGTCTCTTCTTGTTCCAAATCAATTTTTGGATTGTTTTCTCAAGTTCTGTGAAGTATGTGATTGGAATTTCAATTGTGTTGCATTGACTATGTGGCAATTTTACAAGTATGGACATTTTCACTATATTGGTTCTTCCTACTAGGCCAGTATCTCTCACCATGCACTAAACTAAAATTGAAACAGATCAAAAATCTAAATATTAAAAGAGAAACACTAAAATGGCTGGAAGAGAGGTTAGGTAGAACTCTTGAGGATATTGGTGTAGGAAAAGATTTCGTGAACAAAATCTGTCACATCTGATCTAGCACAAAGAATCAACAACTGGGATCTCATCTTACTAAAACACTTCTGCACAGCAAGAAAAACCATCAACAATGTGAAGAGACAACCACAATGTGGGGAAAAAATTTTACCAGCTGTTCCTCAGACAAAGATCTACTATCTAGAATATGCAAAGAACTTAAAAAATCAGACCTCTCAAATTTAAAGATTCAGTCCAGAAATGGGCATCTGAAATGAATGGACATTTCTCAGACACTGGTCATTCCAGAGGTTCAAATGAAAACAGTGCTGAGATTCCACCTCACCCCAGAAAGAATAGCTGCTATCAATAAATCAACTAATAACAAATACTGGTAGGGTTGTGGGGGAAAAGGATTGCTTCTCCATTGTTGGTGGGAGTGCAGACTGCTGCAACCACTGTGGAAATCAGTATGGAGATACCTCAAAGAACTAGGATTAGAGGTCCCATTTGACCCAGCTATTCTTCTGCTGGGTATCTTCCCAAAAGAATTAAAAGAATCATACCACAGCGATAAGTGCACTCATGTTCATAGAGGCACAGATTGTAATAGTTAAAACTTGGAAATTGCCCAGTTGCCCATCAATTGGAGACTGGATAAAGAAATTTTGGTTTGTTTTTTAAAAATAAAATAGAAGAGTACTACTCAGCCATAAAGAGTGAGAAAGTAGAGACATTTATAGCTAAATGGATGCACATTGAAGCAATACCCTTAAGTGAAATAAATAGGACACACGTGTAAATACCGAATAGTTTCTCTGGTGTGAGAAAATGAAAGTGCAAGTAAGGATCAAACTGTACAATAGAAACAGAAAGAAAAGGTGTGAGGGGGAAATGGGAGGGGTAGGGGAAAGAAAAGAGGGGAGGAATAAATATGAGAAAAGGAAAAAAAACGGAAACAAAGTCTTTGTAAATAGGGAGGGTGTAGGGGTTGAAGGGAGGGCAGGGGAATGGGGAAAAACTAAGACCAAGATATATCATGTAAAGGTACAAATTCCCAATGATGAATGCCATCATAGTGTACACCTGAAATGTACCAATAAACTTAATGAATAAAAAATTTATAATAGGCGACTTCAACTTTTAATTTCTATATTTTTCATTAATAATACTAATTGTAGCTACGCATCTTTACATGAATTTTGAAGAATCAACATGGCTAGATACATAAACTGTATCCTAGTTTGGCATCGAACTTCTGTGACAATGTGAGGGTTTTAGAATGTGGTAGCATGGGTAAATAACAACAACAGTCCCTAGTTCCTAACACAATCTTGTATAAAAATGATTAAATATAGCCCTAATAGAATTCTTTTCATCTTAAAACATTGTCCCAAACGTTTCACTGGGATTTTTCCTCAATTATTGTATTTTAGCTACTCACATAAAAACTTTTAAATTGTGACAGTCTTTAAGATACTAGAAAAGAGTGGCTTTAGAACCATAAATATAAAAAACAAAATCAGTTTAACTGCAAGCTACCAATTTGGTAATAATTCTGACAACTCAACGTTAAAACTGATATGCACTTCAAATTTTTACACTCATTATTTCCTGGAGGGTAAAACAAAAGTGCACTGCAAGAGAGTGGAAGGATCATAATCAAATGGAAAAACATATTTCTTCACGCTTGAATCATATTTAAGGATCGGAAATTACCATGGATACTTGTCCACTGTAGCCCTTTCATTATTTATATTTTCATACTATAGAAATACGCTGTAAACATTTTGCCTTTGGAAAGAAAGGCTAAACTGCAGGCACAGGCAGCTACCTCTCCATTGTTTCCTTCTAAGGAGACTTGGGTCGGATTTTACCTCAGAGATGGGCTTCTCATAGACGTCTTCGCCTATGGACTTCTCTTGGGCCAGAATGGCATCTCGGTGCAGGACCCGAAGCACTTTCTCCGGCTCTGCAGATCCATAATGAGCTTCCAGAACCTCGGGCTTGGTTTTCTCTGTCTTCAGCATGTGGATCACATCCTCTCTGGCCTGTGGTAGAAAGTGCGGCAAGGTCAAATAATTCGTCATCTACATCACACACGGGGCTCACAAAACTGACCTGGGGATTATCGAATCGATCCCCACCTCTCCAGGGCTATTGGCAAATTCACTGAGTTTTCTGCTCTTATTTTTTACCAACAGCAGATTGGCAAGCAGATATTCTGCTGCGGGTTGCTAGGAAGCAGACACATAGAAAAGGGTTTGTGCTAATATTAACCACATAAAAATTGCTTGATCTGAGTAGCAATGATTTGGGAGAGGGCAGAAGAGAGCTGGTCCTGGGATTCCTAACCAGTTTCAGTGCACATGAGCTCAATGACAATGCAAAATTGTCTACTTTTCTATTCATGCTTTCAAAGCTGTATCGAAATCTGGTTTAAAGGAAAACCACGCTCCATCCATTCTACAGCTCCGTGTTTATTATAGTCAGCTATAAGTCCATGTGTAATCAACAAGTGTCCTTATTAGTGACTTCCTGTTTCTCATATAATTCATTTTGCACAGAAACACATAGCTGTGAACTCACACCATGCTGGCCTAGGCTTTGTAATCTAACGTATTCACCCCAAAAGTGAAATTTTACTCTTTTAACAAACATCCAGACTGCGCCTGTGTGAGTCAGGTTGGTGGGATTATGCCTGTTATTTTAATTTCTCAGCACAACCAAGATCTTGCCAAAGCTGTGGAGAAAACCGTGTGATTGTAGGTTTTATCATTGGTCCTCATCATATAATGCAAATACATCTGGATGTGTTTTTTACTGATTAGGTGTGATGCTGTTTCCAGTCATGATGGAGCTGACATTTGTTAAATGTACTCCCGGAGCTGTTTTTCCCGCAATGGTGATGGCTTATGTATTCTGACTTCATTCCAACGTGTACTAAAGAACAAACTGGCTGGGAACAGAGTTTCAGCCTGTGACAGTGGAATAGAATTTTCTCCTGTATTAATGCTAACTGTGGGTCTGAAACAATAAATCTGGATCATTATGATTGCTGCCTACACAAGAGAGCAACCAGAGTTACTATATTCACCATGTGACCAGATACGTGTCTTGAGGTTTCCTGATTTATTGCATTTTCAGTCTCCAAATTCCTCTAATTCCAGATAGGTACGGGCTGCTTTATTTCTGAGACATCCATGAACTGAAATTTGCATATTTCAGCATCACTGCCACATATACACGTGCTTGTTTCAAAATAAAAATAGAAAATATGAATTTTGAAGGACCTAGTGATATGGGATGGTAGAAAATGGTTACGGACAGAAGATAGGTTAATGCAAGGTGATGTGTCTCTGTGCAGATGAAAAGACCTCGGCATTGTCTTAGAGTTAAGCCCATCTGCATGATGTCTTTGTGCAAGTTAGGAAAGGGTAGCTGCTTAATCAAGAAGCTACGTACCCAAATCAGGGTATATGGTGGTCCTGAACCAAAGGAGCCTCAAAATGTATACAGCACTACTGGCCTCAAGGAAGGAAGGGTTCCTAAGTTCACAGCTCACACACGTGAACACAGGCACACACCTTCTAAAGAAGTAGTTCTCAACCCTGGCTACCTGGAGTCTCCTGAGGAATCCTAAAAAATCCAAATGCCCAGGCATCTGCACCCAAATCTCTGGGAGAAGGACTCCTACACTGGTATCTTTTCGAAGTCCCAGGTGATTCCAGGGTTGAGATGACTGTGCCCACTGCCAGGTGTGAGTGTGACTCCCAAGGGTTCATGTGCAGGGAGCTGGGTTCCCGTTGTGGATAGGAAGGGTGGTAGAACTTTAAGAGCTGAGACCCAGTGGAAGGTAATGAGATCCTTGGTGATCTTCTCAGAAGAGGCTGGTGCATTTCTCCCAGAATCCTGGCTAGTCCCCGAGAGAGCAAGCTGTACAAAAGAACAAGCTGGTTCCTGGGTCTCTCTGACTTCCTCTCATCCTATGACAGCTTGCTCCCTCCCTCTCACACACTCTTCTGCCATGGTGCCGTCCACCATGCTGTGGTGCAGCCAATAGTCAACCACTTTGGTTCCTTCAGCCTCCAAAACTGTCAGCTGAATGCATTGTCTTTCCTTATAAAGTACCCAGTCCCGGGCATTTTGTTACTAACACACTAATCAGTTAAGACACAGAGCTACTAAATTGTTTGTTTGTTTGTTTGTTTGATACCAGGGATCGAACTCAGGTCCTTGCACTTATAAGGTAGGCAGTGGAACCACTGAGCTAAATCCCAGGCCCCAGAGCTACTAAATTGAATGTGAATGCAGATGTGTAGCATTATCTGATCTAACCTTTTCTATTTTGCTGCAAGTGCTTTTCTCTTTTTTTGTACTGGGCATCAAACTCAGGACCTTGTGCTTCCAAGCAGGTAGTGGAACTGCTGAACTAAATCCTGTCCCCCTTTTTAACTGTCTTTAGAATTGTGCTACATCCTTTCTTCTTTACGTCATGTCACACCTGAGGTCAACCTTCTATTTTGACCAAACTATCTGGAAAGAAGAAACTGAAAATTTACTAATTTATGGAATGAGAAGGAGGAAAAATTTCTAAACACATCTGTTTGTTTTGTTTTGTTTTTGGTACTGGGAATCGAACTCGGGTCTTTGCGCTCCAAGGCAGGCAGCAGAACCACTGAGCCAAATCCCAGACCGCAAGTCACATCTGAAAGTGAAAAAATGGTGGTAACAGAATGTTGCCCATCTGGAAGTCTCCACAACAAACCATTGTCTTTTTCCTCATCTCTGAAGCAGAGGGAGTAAGAGCTGTTTTCTAAGACTCCCATTTTAACATGTCAACTACAAAGACATAAAATATACCGTTGTTTGAAAAAGTTGAAATTAAAAACAATACCGGAGAATTTATTGGCATTTCTATAATAAATTGAGATGGTGATTCAAAGTAAAATATAAATATGTTACACGTTCTACTCCCCTACTTTCTAAAACAATATTACAGTGGATATGTTAAAAAAAAAAAAGAATAAAATCAGAACTCAAATTCTTCAGAAAAGAAATCATTGTAGAAGCTTAGAAAACAGATTTGACCAGATAGTACTTTGACAATTAAAAAGACTTCTGAAACACCAAAAGGATAAACACTAAAATTTTTGGTAGTAAGATTAAGGGCTATTTTTTTATCCTCCTTTTTGTTGATATGTATTTTTGAACTTTTTAGAATGATTATTTAAAGGTACAAAGTTGTAGTTTCTTTTCTTTTTGGTACCTGGGATTGAACTCAGGACCTTGTGCTTGCGAGGCAAGCAGCAGAATCACTGAGCTAAATCCCCAGCCCAAAGTTGTATTTTCATTATGAAAGAAGAAATACTTCATTGTTTCTATTTCACACAGACGAGACAAAAGAAATGGTTTAGTAGTTTTCTATTTCATGTGTGTGATGCTGAAAAAGCATCATTCTGGCTGTACATAAGCCATGCCCCGGGATCTAACAAAGGATGATATAAAAACCAAATGTCGCAAGATTATACTATAACCTCTAGGCATTGCCTTGATGTCTTTCAGGATATGAATCCATAGGTAGAACTGCCACTAAGGTGGGAAAATGTATGAACAACCAGGTGGTGTAGGGAATATAGGTTTTCTCACTGACATTTATTCTAGATTAGTCATTCTAGATGGACAGCTGAAGGAATCACAGCAGAACTACTTGTATATGAAAGCAGTGAAATAAGTATTTGTCTCTTAGTATGGATAAAAGTAATCAGAAAGCGGCTTTCCAGTGTAACTGGTAACAGAGTAGAATCTGCACTACTAGTGAATACACATTTACATGCCCTGAGCATAAAAGAACCCCAATGAATCTTACAGCTTTCAGGCAAACAAAATTTGAATTAAAATGTGCACATAATCACATCATGGTCTGGTAGAATAAGCCCATGTTTAAAGAGACACGGAATTCGTTTCTAATCATAGCTATGTTGTGTATTTTATGCAAGTTGCTAACAATGCTTTGACCTAATTTTATCATCTATGAAATAGGATCATATTAACTTTCTTACAGGATCATTGTGAGCATGGGCTCAGATATAAAACGAGTGCTATAGCCCGTGGGCACAGTAGAGTAAATCAGTGGTAACCATGTAGTTCCCGTTGGGTTTCCATCGTGCAATGACTTTAGGCATACAGGAAGAAAAGGAATTTTATAAGATACATTTTCCCTCACCAAATATAAAATCTAAGACTCAGAAGGCTTAATGGTCTATACATTTTACAATTTGAAATTTGCTCTTATATTTTTTCCAAAGGAGTTTTAAGACCAAAACAGCTTGTTTCTAAATGTTATTTAATCTCCTTGACTCTATTTCCTGTAAAATAGAGAGGCTAACACCTCTCCTTCACAGGGACTTTGTTAGGTTCTAATAGCATGACACAAGTAAGATGCTTTGGAAACCATAAACAGGTAGTTCTTTCAGTTAAATACTTTAAGCTATTACATTTAAACCTATGTAAATATCATTGGTATTTATCTTTTTGATCAAATCTTTCTGATTCCCTTAAAAGATAGCTTCTACTATTTACACTGACATAAAACACATATTACCTCTCACTAAAACTCCACCATACTAACTGTAATGTGCGGCATAGCCCACATGTTTGTTCTTAGTTGAAGTGTCCCAGACCACGATGGTGAGCCCATGGCAGCCGGCTGTCTATTATCGTTGAAAGCTCTAAAAAGTTCATCATCATGGTCCTGGACTCTAACTGCCAAAGGTAGAGAGTCTAACAAATATGCATTATTTATTTAGAACCACACTATTCAGCATGAACTTACCACAGGCTTTTAAACTGCAACAATAATAATCATGGAAGGGATAACAATATTGTCTTTACATGCCTGTCCTTTACATAGTTTAAAACAGTACATCAATAATTAATATTGTCTTTTTAATCAATGGATTAGTGAAGATGACTATGTGACCGTTATTCCAAACATACAATTCAATCTCTGTAAGAAAGATGCATTTTTAAAATAAAACCATTTCATGTT